ACACTACAGCAAAAACTAATGATGTAATGTATGGGGATTAACATAAGAATAAAAAAAATAAATTAAAAAAAAAAAAAACAGAGTCCTCAACTTGGAAGCACACTTTGTCTCTCCAGTTGCAATCTCTAAAACATTGAATAAATGCTTTTGCTTGTTTTACCAAAAACAAAACAAAAAAACTCACACACACACAGTCCTGATCCCATGCACCTTACATTCTACAGAGATGTAAACAGACCATGAACAAATATATCCAGAGCCAGGCAGTAACAGATGCTATGAAGGAGAATAAAGGGAAAGGGTAAGGGGACTGAGTATGGAAAAGGAGTTAGTATGCTGGAAAGAGGTCACAGGGTATACTTGGTAAAACAGTATCATGAAACTGACACTAACATAGTCAACCAATTTCAGGTTATAAACGAAGATTTCACAGAAATGAAGAATCAACAAATGTCTTTTATAGCATTCTCTCCCCATTCTAATCTAACTTGTACACCATACAGATCTTTTAAAGGGTTAACGTATAATATGTACAATCCTTTCTCCCACATTTTTAACAGGTCTTTATCATTTATGATATCAACTCCACTTCAGCAAAACATTCAAGTAAGGTCTTCCAAGACTGCTGCCATCACCTTTTTATGGGAGGGAAACTGAAGTACAAAGAAGATAAAGAATTGACCTGCCTAGTTAACCAGCTGGGTAGCCAGAACTGAGGGGGTCTTGAGCATTTTGTTTACATCCCTATTATATTAGTAATCACATTCCACCTTGTATTCAAATGATTTTCAGTGGACTGCCCTCCCCCCCACTGAAATTGTAAAGTACCATGGGAGGAACCTATAGAAATGCCATATATATATATACACACACACACACATATATATGAAAACCTGTAAAAATGGACTGTTTTCAACTATTATGCAAATTAACATTAAATAATGACCATCTTACAGAATCTAGAGATAATGGCTTCAAGTAGAATGGAACAAGCTACCTTGAATTTCTCCCTGAGGATCTTTGTAATACCACTTCTGCATTGCTTCGTGCATCAATGGAATTGAGACTCCCTTAGCTCTGTGCTCTTGCAGTTTAGATGCCAGTCTCTCATCATCTAGTGCACTGTCTTGGAGATAAGCCACCATCTTCTCAGCTTGCTAATAGGGGGAAAAAAAAAAAGGGATTGAGGAAACAAATGATCCCAAATTAATACTTGAACACATAATAAAAATGCCTACCTTTCTTGAATGACTTGACCTGTGAAAGGTATTACTGTGCAAGAAACACGGCAGGCAACCATTTACTTCTTGCAACAAGGTCATGTAATATGTACTGTCCCCATTTTATGGTGGGGGAAACTAAGGCCTCGGGAGGTCAAATCTTACTTAAAGTCTCAAAATTATTAAGCAAACCAAACTGAGACTGGAACACGAACTGGTATGGATGAAAGCCCAGGCTTCTAATCAACACACTAATAAGATTACTTTTTAAACTAATAAGCCATTGGTCAATCCTGAAGCATATAAACTAAACCTGTAAAAACATGGGTGTTAATACAACAAAGACTCAATACAATTACACATAAAATCTTTTACAAGTTTTACTGAGACACTGCCCTCCTTTCTTTCTCTCTTCAAGCATTTCCTGCCACCAAAAACCACCCCACCCCGAAAGAAAGAGAAATTCTTCTATAGAAAGCAAGCTATCATTTACTTTACATAAAACAAAGGTATATCTCATCTTAGGAAAATCTAGAGACATAAATGTTAAAATCCTGAGTTTAACTATTGTCCCAGTTATACTTTAGGCAAAAAATGCAGAAAACGCTATGCCCATCCACAGCTGCTTGTATTTGCCATTTTTGGCATTCCATTAATTTCCAAAAAGAAAAAAGAAAAGCAAACAGCTAAGGGCAACCTCAGAAGAGAAAAAATAACCTGACACAATGACTACTACATAGCTGAAACTTATAAGCATGAAATGATTTGAAAGACAATTACTCATACAAAAAAATACTAGATTTACAAACAACTTTTCCAGTACATAAACTCTAGTGAACAGAAGTTCCATTTCTGAATATTCATTTAATGCTTCCAAATTTTATGACTGTTTGAGAAAAAAAGGGTTACATGATTTTTACCTGCTCCAAATGTTTGAGACCCTCTTCATCATCTGGCTCTGTGGAAACGCTGCCCATCCCAGGAGCACCTACGACCGGCGTTTCAACTGGCCGGAGGGCAGGACTAGGATTGGGAACAGGCGGTGGAAGTATGAGAAGAGGAGAGGCTGTATCGGAAGGAATCTGTGACAGGGGCTGCTGGACATCAGAAACCATTTCTAAAGGAAAAACACATAGAAAGATGAAAACCCTTTAAACTATACAGACTCCTATGAAGAATGTATCATCAAGTTGGGCCGTTCACTGAGTGGGCTCAACAGAACTGTGAATGTGTCAGGAACACTGCAGATACTTCTTAGGGAGAAGTGTAGTATTTCTCCCTACAGTGACGGAAGCACCTCTACAGAAGGGCACAGTCTAAGGATTAAAAGATATCTACGAGGTCCTTCTACAGTGCCTGCCTGTGTCACTAGGGCATCCGCCCAACAGTTACACATCTCCCTCTTGAAAGCAAACAATCGGTCTAATACCTTCTTTGTAACATGTCTCCATATAGCAGACCATTAACAAAGCACTGCAAATCTTCTCAAAAATACCGTAACTCATCATCAAAACTTTGATTACACATATCTGCAATTATCTTGAATAAATACCTATTTCAGGTGATAATTAATGTAATTCAATACAGTACAGTCTTAAGGATAATGAAGACATTTGGGAGTCAACCTGGACAGTGCAGGAAGTTCTTCTCAATAAGAACAAAGACTGCAAAAGAGGTTCTGTGTTGGTCCCTATTTCTAGCCTCTCAGTATGCGGGCTAAAGAAGGGAAAGGGGATGGGAGTAATTAGATACAAATGCAGTTTCCCCTTTGAAACCTTGTTTGTTCAGTTACAGACAGCTTCTCCAAATTCCTGTTCCTCTCCGGAACTCTTGCCTTTCTTTGCCAAACTTCTTAAAAGAACAGTCTATATACCACCACCCCCCACACCTGCTACACTAGGACTTCCAATCACTAAGGACTTCCATTCACTCACTAAGCTTTGTTCTAGACATAAAACTCTGAAAAGATATCCCTGGTTTAAGCCCTCAAAATATTAGTCTATTAGGCAAAAAAGATAATACAAGCAGATCTTTATAATATTGTATTGCTATGTCAGGAATAGTGCTGGTTGTTTAAGA